TTCGATGCCACTGCAATTGATCATTGTTTCACTGCTGGGTCATAATTTGCTCCGATCGCCAAGAGGTTGTGTGCTAATGACGGCTCCTTTACTGCAGTGCACCCATCTTCAACAACTAACAATCTTTGGTATTGTGTTTGGTGTGCATTCGGGTTGGTCTACTTGCTGTTGCCATTTGTGCATCTCAGGACTCTCTAACAAAGCCTACATTCCTCTCAGTTAGTCACCATACCACATAGCTGTTTTTGTGACAGCCAACTGCATAGCAATAATACAAACGCCTGGGCGCGTGTACTCTACATTTAACCACCAAAAGCATTCTTTAAACGAGGACTCCTTGCTTCAACTTAGTTAATCTGGGTAAGGGAAACGAATCAGCAATGTTCAGTGCTACTAATAGCAAAGGTATTTGAGCTGACCGATGTTCGATTGAAAGTGAGCAAAGCAAACACAGGAGCTAGTAGTTTTATGTGCACATTTACTAATAATTCTTTCATGTCCTCTGAAACCACGACTGAATCACCCACGAGATTACACGATTAGCGACGTGATGTATGGTACAATCGGTGCAAAGTGATAAGTGTACGTTTTCTTCAAGTCATATTGTCCAATAATTTTTTCAAAAGCGGATGCTACCTTCTTCTTTCACTTGTTAAAGATAGCACACTTCCTGAATCAGCTTTTAATTGCTAGTATTGTGCTTATTTTAAAGGGCAAGTTCAAATGAGATTTGGTCATTTATCATTACAGAGCTAAGGAAGCGAACAGAAACACCAGTACGCTAGCAGTACACCTAATCGCAAACTTGTCATTAATAAAACATCACGGTAATAAAGGGGTGCACCCATAATTCCCTGGCACTACAGCAGGACCATCCAGGTAATCATGTGCCGTTAAAAGCATTGGAAAATCCCAAGAATGGCTGCGCCTTATGCATTGATTAGGCAAGGGAGACTAATTCCTGAAGAGAGAGGATTAAGTAAGAACATAGGCTTTTATTTTCACTGGACGTTTCTATTGCATGGGTTAATGAACTATAATAAGCTGGCTGGGAATCACCCAAGTTATCTTACAATACCTAGGATTTTAAAATCAGCAGCTCAGAAATAACTTTAACTGATTTTTGGGCACTTAGATCAGCAATGTGGTTGTCATGGAGTGCCACAATACCAAACTAT